CAGGAACAAATCCAACCAGTGTGGGATTGCTTCTCAAGCAAGCTACCCTCTGGTCTGAAGATCGGAAGAAACCCATCCTCAGTTTTTCCTTCTGATTTTACAGAAAATCTGGTTTGCCCAGAATTTATTTCAGTCTTTTTAAGCAAGTTGTTTTTAACTAAACATAATTTTATTTGTGGTGTTAAGAAGCTCTCTTTGCCTGCAAAGGTGGTTGATGGAATAAATGTATAACTACAGCAAATACATGTAAAAATAAATAAATAAATAAGCTATGAAACTGTGCTCTGTCGATCAATCCATCATCCAGGCAGAAACGTTCAGCACCCATGGGATGCGTTTCTAGTTTTCTGGAGACTTTTGTGTTCTCCAATGAATAAAGCCAATGTTTCCCAGGTTCAGTTTGTTGAGACGTTTGATATCGCATTACTTACAGAATTTGTATGGTTATTATTGAGACATACATACTGATCTCCACTCCATTATTAAAATAACAATTATTTTAAGGTAAGAATATCTCTCAGCATTTAGCTAGCTTAAAATTTGTGTGACAAACATCACATTTTTCCAGTTTCTTCAGCTGATGGAGACAAACAGAATAAATTCTTTGGTGACCTCAAAACTTCATAGATAGTGTAACCAAACACTTTTTTAAGCTAATCAAAACCCAAAATAAAGCAAATGATAGTTAGAACAGGTTTATAACACAATGATTATGACCTTTCTTGAAAAATAACAAATGTCACAGGAGGTCTTCTATACTTATGAAATTCACCGTGTGTATTAATTATGATGGAATTTGTTCATTAAAAATCATAGTTACGGATAATAAGCTACCTTTAATTTTGATATTTCTGGTATTTTTGTAATAACAGAAAATGTTATTTATATACATGCAATCTGTATAAATAATTTTCAACACTGAATATTTTCAAACAGGCCAAACTCTACCGCTGAAGCTTGCGCAGACTTCCAGTGACTTTATTCATGAGGAGATCAATCTGGCGCTTTAAGCCAAGGTGGAAAACTGCATCCATGTTTGGATTCTGATTAACTCTGTTTAACTAGCAATACAGTTCCCAGAGTTGTGTGTCTAATATTGTCCTTTCTCAGTCATCACTGTGCCACAGTGAGGAAAAGCATGGCTCAACACCTGCACCAGCTGGCTGACAAACGTGGAGCAGCTGTCATCCTGAAAGCAGGAAGCTTCACTGAACGCTTTCTAACTGCTGATTCTAGAATGGCAGAGGATGCCCCACCTGAAGCAAGATGGGTACTTTTAAAAGGGTTTGAAAGTGCATTAATGTGCCAATCTTGTTTTATTTTCTGAGCATTTACACAATTAATGAGAATTAACGAGAACTATAATCCTCAACAGGTACCATGGTCATCAAAAGTCATTCAAATCAATTCAGTCCAATTCAATTGGAAACAGTTGCCTCAATGTTCTTTATATTGTAAGGCAGACCCTACAATAATAGATACAGAGAAAAAACCCACCAATCATATGACCCCTATGAGCAAGCACTTTGGCGACAGTGGGAAGGAAAAACTCCCTTTTAACAGGAAGAAACCTCCGGCAGAGCCAGGCTCAGGGAGGGGTGGGGCCATCTGCTGCCACCAGTTGGGGTGAGAGAAGGAAGACAGGATAAAAGACATGCTGTGGAAGAGAGACAGAGATTAATAACAAGCACAATTCAATGCAGAGAGGTCTATCAACACATAGTGAGTGAGAAAGGTGACTGAAAAGGAAAAACTCAATGCATCATGGGAGTCCCCCAGCAGCCTATGCCTATTGCAGCATAACTAAGGGAGGATTCAGGGTCACCTGATCGAGCCATAACTATATGGTTTCTCAAAAATGAATGTTTAAGCCTAATCTTAAAAGTAGAGCGTGTGTCTGTCTCCTGACAGGAGCATCAACACATCCTCAGGGGTTTCAACCAGTCTGGAGGTCTTAGGGACAGATGGCTGCTATAGCTGGAGCAGTACCCCCAGCCTCTCTGCAGACCTGCAGGCCTGGTAGTGAAATATCTCTCCATGTGTAAATGTATCCAGTGTTGTCCCAGACATAATGCAGATTTGATTTTAAATACTAAATAAATATGCTGCTTAGATTAAACTAAACTGAAGATAAGGATTTTATGGAACTGAGATTTGCAAAAATTACTTGAAACCAAAGAAAATTATCTGTCTGACTGACTGTCATGAACTTTTCTGCACCTGACCATCTAGCCCCTTGTGGGAGGTGGAAAAGCCAAACATTCTGTGACTACCTCTTTTGAATATTGTCAAATCCTGCCATGAAAGTGTAGAGAAGCTGGCTATGCCTCTGTCTTTTTCTGCTTCTTCTCAGTCAATATAAAGTTGCTGCTTGTTTTTTCTGCTGTTCTGCTGTAACCTGCTGTGCCAGCATCTCTCTGAAAGATCTGGAGCTTCACGCTTGGAAACTCAAGTTTGGTGAGACAGCAGACTCTCTTTCTTCTCTTTTATTTTCGATTTTTGTCAGAAGCTTCTGATCATGTTCTATGTTCTTAAAGATGCTGTCCAAGCCTCAAACTCAAAGAAATGCTCACCCATGTGTTTACTTGTGTAAAAGTTTCTAAGACTCAAATAAAAGGAGACATGTTAGCGGATAAAAAAAAAAAAAAAGATTAATTTCTTTTTTCTGTTTTTCTCATAATCTCCTTTTCCAATTGGTAGAAAAGTCATATGACTATGATCTAGGTCAGAGGAGGTTCACTAGAAACAGGTCTGGCTCAACAACATCAAACATCATTTGATTTATGGTGTCAAGAAGCACTCTTTTCCTGCATTGGTGCTTAACGGAATAACGTCATAAAGACATCAAATGCATGTTAAATAAATAAAAAGAATGCTTTATACTAAGATGTAAAAATTGTAATTGTGTTTGTTACGTTGTGTTGGTAGTGTGTAGCTTATTACCCATGAAGTGGTTTTTAGCATTAGAAACTATGGTCAGTATCATCCAGTATCAACAGAGAAATGTTAAGCGTGTGTGGGATACATTTATAGTTTTCTGCAGACTTTTGTGTTCCCAAAAGAATAAAGCTGAAGGGTCCCCATTTTCCCTGTAGACCTGTCATGGATGACATTTTTGTTTCAATCATAAATTTGCATTTATGTGTTTTTTTGTTGGACAGACTGCCAATCCAGTTTCCACCATCAAGTCAAATATGTGTAATCTGTATTTTTGCATATTATTTAATAAAAAACAATAAACCATTTGAGACTACAATACTACATTTAAAAAAATAATAAAATTATGACCAAATCAGCAAATAGATACCAGTTTAAAAAAAAAAAAGGAAAACTGGTCTCTACACACAGAATTCAGGTTTACACAGTGGACTAGCTTGTTTAAAGAGCTTGGCCTGTACGTTGCAGGAAAATTCAAGAGGGTAAAAAACAAAGCCCACTCGCCGTTTCGAGGTATGCAAGAGTTTCAGATCCAGATCTAACGTCATAATTTTGCTCCGCAGGGAATAGACGACAAGAGAAAAAGACGGCTCCCACTCCAGAATCTAATGCATCCACATCCACTGTTGTGAGAGGTTTGGTTGAGAAAGGATGGGAGCAGAAGTGAAGTGTTGTTTGAGAAAGTCGAAGGATGACTGAGCTGCTGGGGTTCACTGGAACTGTGATTTGGCAACTTGGGTTAGAGGCATGGCAACTTTACTGAAGTCCCAGTAAAGTTAGCAAAACCAAGGAAACGTTGCAACATCTGCAGTTCTCAGGCAATGGCCAGTCCATGACTGCTTGCACCTTTGCTGGGCCTGGTTTGAGATGTCCCTTTGGTAGCCCAACAATGTATCTTTCCTGTAGCCCAGCAAAGATACACTGTCAACATAAAATTTGCCTTTTAGAAACAACTTCTTGTGCAGCTGCTGCAGGACTAACCTTAAGTGATTTTATGTTCTGAGAGAGATCGTGAGAAAAATAAGATGTTATCCAGGTAGACAAACATGAAACAATTTATGAAATGCCAGACAACGTCATTAACTAGGGCCTGAAAAACAGCAGGTGTGTTAGTTAGTCCAAAGGGCATTACCAGGTGTTTGAAGTGTCTGTGATGGGTATTGAAGGCCATCTTCCACTAACCCCCTGCCTAATTCTCATCAAGTGACAGACAGATGTGGAGGAAGAGACAGAGTGAGATCCTTTCTGAAAACTTCAGCCAAATCATGATAAACAGTTTGGAACCCTGAACCAAACCCACCTGCGTTTTCAGGTGGGTTTGGTTCAGGGGCTGTATAATCTGAAGGGAGAGTGGATTTTAAACAGTTCTTATGGAAAGACAGCCTCCATCCAGACGCATTTTGTTTCTCAGTTGATGTGCGGATTGTTGGGTCGTAACCAAGGGTGACCATGGACCAACAGCGTGATGGGGGCTTCAAATCATAGAAACTGATAGCTTTGGTGGGGTTATCCAACAGAGTGAGTGAGGTGGGTTTTGTTTTGTAAGTGATATCCTGGATTTAGTTTCCAAACACAGAGACACACAGACAGAGGAAAAAATGGGAAAAGACAGACAGAAGACCCAATCATAGGGGAGAAGCCAAGGAGGACTGAGGGACCCTGACACCTCCACCTTTTTCTATTTCAGTACTTAACATTCTTTCGCTTTCTTTACTTTACTCCTGTCCTGACCTGACTGGAATACTGCAGTCATACTAGTGGTCTGCTATATAAGACGTTCTCTCTGACGCAGACCTATATCAACCACGGACACTGAGACAGGTAAGTAGCTACAGCACGTAATTAGACACATAGGCGAGTGTGTAAATGCACTTTCCAGTAATATAATGATGAAAAAAAACAAAGAAAAACTAAGAATTATTAATTTGCAAAAGGTTTGGAGAGAGAGATGTTACTGTCGTACTTTGTAAGTGACATCCAACATCCATTTAAAGTGACAGAAAGCATTTTAAAACTGATGTGGTTTCCTACAAGTCACAAAGGATCCGTTTCTTTGTATTCAGTCAAGATGAAGTTGCTGCTTGTTGTTTCTGCTGTTCTGGCTGTATCCAGCTGTGCCAGCATCTCTCTGGAAGATCTGGAGTTTCACGCCTGGAAGCTCAAGTTTGGTGAGACAGCAGACACTTTCTCTCCTCTTTTGTTTTTGTGTTTTTTCAGAAGCTTCTGATCATGTTTTGTGTTCTTTAAGACACTGTCCAAACCTCAAACTTGCCTCATCCAGTTATGTAAAAGTTTATAAGATTCAAATCAAAGGAAATATGTTAGCGAATCAAAAAATTGTTCTGTTTCTCTTAATTTCCTTTTCCAACTTGCAGAAAAGTCATATGACTCTGAGTCAGAGGAGGCTCACCGGAAGCAGATCTGGCTCAACAACCGCAAACATGTGCTAGTGCACAACATCTTGGCAGACCAGGGTTTGAAATCCTACCACCTTGGGATGACCCACTTTGCTGACATGGTATGTGTACAAAAAAGAGATCATTCAGATTTTACCCTTCACCAATTCAGTTGTTATCTGTCTTTTTTGATGCAATTAGCATGTGAGGATACAAAAAACCAAACAACAACTTTGTTTGATAAAACCCCCATGAATGTCTTCCCTCTTTATCAGGAACATGAAGAGTACAAACAGCTGATTTCCCAAAGCTACCTTGGCTCCTTTAATGCTTCTCTGCCTCAGCGTGGCTCTAGCTTCTTTCGCCTGCCTGAAGGTACTGATCTGCCCGACACTGTTGACTGGAGGGATAAGGGATATGTCACTGAAGTCAAGGATCAGAAGCAGTGTGGCTCCTGCTGGGCCTTCAGTACAGTGAGTACATAAAATGTTGTGTTGTTTGGGTAACTTTGGGAAACAAAAACTGTTGCCTGGTTTGAAATCGACTCGTCCTTACTGCAGACTGGTGTACTGGAGAGTCAGCACTTCAGGAAGACAGGAAAGCTGGTGTCTCTGAGTGAGCAGCAGTTAATGGACTGCTCTCACAGCTTTGGCAACAATGGCTGCAAAGGAGGATCAGTGAAGCGGGCCTTTCAGTACATCCAAGCCAATGGAGGAATTGACACTGAGACAGCCTACCCCTATAAGGCTAAGGTAAATAGATAGCAACATACCAAACACACACACACACACACACACACACACACACACACACACACACACACACACACACACACACCTGTTTCTTCTGTGATTTAAATCACAAACCTTGAATATATGCAGTCAGGTCTTTATCGCCTGAATATCATCACATTGTAAATATCAGAATTATCAATGCAAATCAGCTCAGTCAGACAGTGGTGTTAATAATGGCCATGCATGAAAGGCTGTACAGTACTGCCAAAGCATATGGTAGCTCCAAGCCCTGTAAAACTCACAGCATGAGCTACTTTATTAACTTCTTTCAAAATCTATTTTTAACATCACAGTATTTTGGCAAACTCTCTGTTTGCTAATATAAATATGTGACAGCAGTAGAAACTTATGATTGCATATGTTCTCTGTATTAGGGTCAACAATGCCTTTACAAGCCTGATGGTATTGGTGCCAAATGCACTGGCTATGTTGAAGTGGAACCCAGTAACGAAGACGCCCTGAAGGAGGCTGTGGCCACTATCGGACCAATATCTGTTGGCATTGATGCTTCTCATAACTCATTCAGATTCTACCAATCAGGTGCAGACATTGAAAAAATATTTGTAAAGTGCAGAGAAACATTTTTAAATTGGAAAAGAAATGTGAAATGCTTCATTTGTTCTTTTGTTCAGTCTGATTGACATGTACTTGCAGGAGTGTATGATGAGCCCGACTGCAGCAAGACAGTGTTGAACCACGATGTGCTGGCTGTGGGTTATGGTACAGAAGATGGACATGACTACTGGCTGATCAAGAACAGGTATTTACTCCCATGTGATGCTCATATTTTAATGTTTTAGCAGCTAAATGTTGTTAAACTGTGCAATTTGTTTCTTTCTGCAGCTGGGGTCTCAGATGGGGAGACAAGGGATACATTAAGATGAGCAGGAACAAATCCAACCAGTGTGGGATTGCTTCTGATGCAACGTACCCTCTGGTCTGAAGAGGTCGGAAGAAACCTATCCTCAGTTGTTCCCTCTGATTTGACCAAAATTTAGTTTAAAGTTTTTAACCATGTTATGTAACTAAACATAATTTTATTTGTCGGGTCAAGAACCTCTCTTTTCCTGCATCAGTGTTTAATGGAATAAATTCATAAATAAGACAAATACAAGTTAAAATAAATACATAAATTGTGAAACTGTGTTCTGTTCATCAATCCATCATCTAGACATAAATGTTTAGCACCTGTGGAATGCAGCTGCAGACTTTTGTGTTCCCCAGTTATTTTTGTGTTTTGTGACTTCGTATTATTACGGTTTAAGTTCAAGTTTTTAAAGTTTAGCACCGAGTTTAGTTCTTTCTATGTTTTTAAGTTTTTAAGTTCTTCTACTAGCTTTAGAGTTTACTGTAATTCCTTCCTCACGCCTCCATCCTGTCTTCTCAAGCCTTCCATATAATGGTCATTTATGTGTCTCTATTTTTCCTTTACAGTTTTCTCAATTGTTAAATGTGCACTATTTTAGTTTTAGCTGAAATAGCTCCACACATGGCTCTGCTTATAATCACCCATTATTGTCAACTAAGTGAGCTGTGATGCATTTATACAGGATATTTTGCGTATCACTATGACAGGTGGGAAAAGAAGTAGTTCCTACCAATCATTTACAGAATCCCAGTAATAAAGTTACTTTTCCACTGTTTTTCAGTTCATGAAAAATTACAAATTTATCACTAAGAATACATAAAAGAAATATACACAATAAACAAACCAGGAATCAAACACAGAATATATAGGTAAACCAAATGAATAAACAAATTCAAAAATGCTGGGTAGCTGAGCCTCCACTCAGAAAAACGATTTATTAATATTATTATTATTATTATTATTATTATTATTATTATTATTATTGTTGTTGTTGTTGTTGTTGTTGTTGTTGTTGTTATTATGCGAGAGTAAAATGCTACTGAAATATATAAAATCAAAGGTTTATTTATTTTTAAAGTAAAGACAACCGAAACAACCCTCCATTTGTGCTAATGTTTGTCCACCAGAGGGCAGTCTGAAAGTCTAAGCAGAGGCATGTAAGGCGTAAATGAGCAATCAATGTGTTTACTTTAAAATTATTTTTCAGGCTCTTGATGCTCTCCACTGTACACTTGTAAAAGGCCAGAGCCTCCTCTGTAGGGAGGCATGTAAGGGTGGTAAGTAAGCATATACTTTAGCCTTTGCACACACTGTGCTTCAGCATTTTGCACATTTTTTGTTAAAGAAATAATGACATGGTGTAAGATGTTATGTTTTGTAGCTCATATGAGGTTGTGGTTACCTCATTTTAAGAACACTGTAAAACCTTAAAATTTGAAAGGGGTTTTACCTGATCTTGACCACTCAGTATTCATGTCCATTCTCAGTGCTACATGTCGATGGGGTGGAAGGGCATTTATTCCTCCAGGACTTGAAGCACAGTAAAGCACCCCACCAACAGCCAAACCCACCTGTTCTCTGATTGGATTGTTAAATTTGTGATTGTCATGAAACAACTAATAACTAATCAGCTGAAAGGAAGAAAACTTTTGTTAAAAGAGTGACATCATGCAAACATCATGTGATCCTTCTCTTAATGTATAGCTCCACCTTTTACTGCACCTGAAATTCTTTCACTATGTTTTTGAACTGTTGTGAGTCACCAAACTGGAATACAACTATTATAGTTAGCCATATAGGAACTCTGTTTCTCTGATACAGAACTACAGTACCCAAGCCCGAACTGGCTTAACCTCAATCTTTGCAACATTTTGTGTGGTTTTCTGCAAGACAAAAGGATCTGTATTTTTCTGCTTGTCTTCAATCAAGATGAAGTTGCTTCTAGTTGTTACTGCTTTTTTGGCTGTGACCAGCTGTGCCAGCATCTCTCTTGGAGATCTGGAGTTTCATGCATGGAAGCTCAAGTTTGGTGAGACATTAGACCCTTTTCTCCTCTTTTAGTTTAGCCTTGTGTGAAATGCTGTTGTTCATGTTTTGTGGTCTTTAAAATATGCTTAGTAAACCTCAAATTCTGAGACAAAATGTGAACTAACCCTTACGTTTACTTGTAGAAATTTTTTAAAGGAATAAAAGGGTATCTCTTACCAGAAATTCAATTTTTATTCTTTATTCATAATTCCTTTGTTCTCTTTATGATTTTTTCATTTTCCAACTGGCAGAAAAGTCCTATGACTCTCCATCAGAGGAGGCTCATCGGAAGCAGATCTGGCTCAACAACCGTGAATTTGTGCTAATTCACAACATATTAGCAGACCAGGGTTTCAAGTCATACCGCCTCGGTATGACCTACTTTGCTGACATGGTATGTACGGAAAAACATGTGCCAGTTATGTTTAATCCTTTTTAAAAACATTTAAATTTTGATTGCAAAAATGATATTTGAAAAGAAAAAAAATGTCCTTCTTCATTATGTTATGTTATTATGTTGCTTTTATTATTCTACCATGTACAGTGTCCATGAGTGTTCTGAAAGGCGCTTTCAAATAAAATGTATTATTATTATTATTATTAGGAAAATGAGGAATACAAGCACCTGATTTCCCAGGGCTGCCTTGGTTCCCTCAATGTTTCCTTGCCTCACAATGGTTCTGCGTTTCTCCGGCTACCTGAAGATATTGATCTGCCCGACACTGTTGACTGGAGAGAAAAGGGATATGTCACTGATGTCAAGGATCAGAAGAAGTGTGGCTCCTGCTGGGCCTTCAGTGCAGTCAGTACATATAACTTAGTGTTCTCTACTTGTTGTAATTTGGCAAACGTTGCTCAACTTAATTATATTGTATAGTCAGCTATATATTCTGGATTAAGATGAACTCATGTTTATTGCAGACTGGTGCACTGGAGGGTCAGCACTTCAGGAAGACAGGAAAATTGGTGTCTCTGAGTGAACAGCAGTTGGTGGACTGCTCTCGCAGCTTTGGGAACCACGGCTGCCAAGGAGGCTTGTCATACCAGGCTTTTCACTACATTATATACAATGGAGGAATTGACACTGAGGCGTCCTACCCTTATGAGGCTAGGGTAATTAGACAGCAATGTCTCAAAAACCTGCTGTCACACCAGACCTAAAACAAAATCTTTGAACGTACATTTTCAGGTGTTCATTACCTGACTATGATCATCTTGCTAAATATCAAAGTTGAAACCGCCATGTGCTCATTCAGACAGTGGTAGTCATGATGGTTTCTGGCTAAAATATATAGTAGTTCCAAGACTTGTAAAGTAGTACTACTTACTACTTACTGTACTTCTTTCAAATACAATTCAATCTAGTATAGTAAATTATAGTAAATTATAACATATTTTCTCTCAATTAGGATGGACTATGCCGTTACAACCCCAGTGCTATTGGTGCCAAATGCACTAGCTATGTTCATGTGAGTAACTCTGATGAAGCTGCACTGAAGTCTGCTGTGGCTACCTTTGGACCGATATCTGTGTCCATTGATGCTTCTCATCGATCGTTTCAACTCTACCATTCAGGTGCAGACATTGACACACTTTGGGGAAAGTACCAAGAAAAATATCTTCAAATAGAAAAAGAAATTGAAGGTGCTTAATTTATTCTTTATACCTGTAAGTCTGATTGACATGTATTTACAGGATTGTATGATGAGCCGGCCTGCAGCAGCACACGTTTGGGCCATGCTGTGCTGCTTGTAGGTTATGGTACTTTGACTGGACACGACTACTGGCTGGTCAAGAACAGGTAAATACCCACATGTGATGCTCATATTTTAATTCGTTCATTTCATTCTTTACAATATTCACTGAGAGGTGATACACAGATACGTATACATGAACATGAAGTGTGAGCTTTAGCTGCTAAATGTTGTTAATTTGTTTCTTTCTGTAGCTGGGGACTTGGATGGGGAGAGATGGGATACATTAAGATGAGCAGGAACAAGTACAACCAGTGTGGGATTGCCACTCGAGGAATCTGTCCTCTGGTCTAATGAGGTGGGAGTAAACGCATCCTCATTTTGTCCTTATTTGACAAACAATTACTTAAAATACCATTTAAGCACATGTAACTTCTGATAATCAAACGGTATGTTGTTACAGTACACTACAGCTTACTGTAGGATCGTGGTTATGGGTATTAGTTTTTTAGTTTTATCTAAATTAACTGAGTTATAAGACAGTATCTTTTTTATGGTGTCAACCAGTCTCTCTTTTCCCAAAACTGCAATTCACATTGAGATGTAAACATTTACATTTGCGTTTTTACTGTAGTGGTGGGTATGACTTAATAACCATCTTGTGATGTTACCATTAGAACTATTAATCTGTTGATCAATCAGCTTTATTCAGAAAGAGATCCTCAGCCCTTGTGGGATGCATTTCTATCCAGTTTTCTGCAGATTTTTGTGTTTAATCCAGAATAAAGCAGATTTACTGAATATCTCCTGGCTTTTTCTGTAGAGTTGTCAGTGACAGTTTTGTTTCATTTAGAAATGTTTAAATACTTATTAATACCAATGAAATGATATTGCTGAATAATGCACCTTTTGCTGTTCCTTCCTTATCAGGTGTGTGAGTGGGTGGATTTACTATGTTAACAATATTAAATCATTGGTAAAATGTATCAGTCAAATCAAATTATGCACTGCTGATACATTTCTCTAAAATCCATGTGGGTTTTCAACATTTATTTGGTATTTCATGGATTCTGATTGAGTTCCCATTGGCTCAGCTTTGAGAGTCACCAATATGTATAAATAGCATATCATTACACTTAAGCAAATTAATTACATGCTGTTTGTTGTGGAAAATAAAACCAAACTGATTTTCTGGGATTTATTGAAAGAATCCATCACTCCAGCACAAACAAGGCTCATACCATGTGTTAGGTGTGGCTGTGTGCAGGCAGGAATAGGACCCAAAGTGCAGACTCCAGAGACAGACGTGAACTCAAAAAAGGCTTT